CTTTTTTTTTTTTTTTCTTTAGACAGGGTCTCATTGTATAGCCCCAGCTGGCCTGGAATCACTATATAGATCAGGTTGGCCTCCAACTCACAGAGATCTGCCTATCTTGACTTCCAGTGCTGGGACTAAATGTGTACACTGCCATGTCCAATGTTAAATAATTTTGTTTAATCTTTAAAATTTAAAACAAAAACAAAATACTTGTGAATGAATGAACGAATCACTATGCCCCTGAAGAGAATGAGGTATGGGAACATGCCAAAAGCTCTTTGAAGCCCGGGGAAAGGATTCACAGGAGTAGAGACCCCCTGGAGCAGTCCTGTGGGGTTTATTATTTGTTTAATCATGGGCAGGGGGGAGGATGCTCCTGCTTTCGCCTCCCCAGCTTTGGGATGACAGGTGTGAACCACCATGCCCGGCTGAACCAGGAGAAGGGGATGGCAGGAGGAGAGACAGCATGGCTGACCTTCCACAAACACTGTGCATTTCCATGTGCCAGGTGCAAGGCCTAAGCCGTGAAGACACTGTCCAGGAGGAGGTCCCCAAATGTGAGCAGTTACATACACAATACAGGCTGGGCATTGGAGCCAATGCCTGTAACCCCAGCACTCAGGAGGTAGAGGCAGAAGGGTAAGAAATTCAAGGCCAGCCCAGGTAGGGGAGATCCTGTCTCAAAAAAAAAAAAAAAAAAAAAAACAGCCAGGCATGGTATACCACACAGCTTCAATCCCAGCACTTGGGAGACAGAGGCAGGTATATCTCTGTGAGTGCAAGGGCTACATTGTGAGATGCTGTCTCAAAAAGAAAAGAAAAATAAAGCAGGTATTGTGGCACATGCCTGTGATCCCAGCACTGGGTGGTTGATTTAGATCTTAAGGTTACCCTGAAGGTTATTGTGCTGGCTAATTTTATGTCAAGCTAGAGCAGTGGTTCTCAACCTGTGGGCTGTGACCCCTTTGGGGTCAAAGAGCCCCTTTATGGAATTGCTTAAGACCATCAGAAAACAGAGGCATTCACTATTCATAACAGTACTAAAATTACAGTATGAAGTGGCAATGAAAGTAATTTTATGGGCCAGGTGGTGGTGGCGCACGCCTTTAATCCCAGCACTCGGGAGACAGAGGCAGGCGGATCTCTGTGAGTTTGAGGCCAGCCTGGGCTACAAAGAGAGTTCCAGGAAAGGCGCAAAGCTACACAAAGAAACCCTGTCTAAAAAAAAAAAAAAAAAAGAAAAGAAAAGAAAAGAATTTCATAGTTTTGGAGCCTGTCCCGGATCTCCCTCTGTAGCCCAGGCTGGCCTCGAACTCACAGAGATCC